ACGACGCCAACTACGAAACACGACAAAAACAGAAACAAGCGTCCCCGAGACAGGCGCGTTCACAGCAAGCAGCAGAGACGACAACAGCCTCACGGAGCCTGCAAAGCATCAAGCAGGCACTCAAGAGCCAGCAACGCAAGCAGTGGACTCAGGCATGCTTGGAGGAGATCGGGGCCATGGAGCGCAACGGCGTCATCAAGCTCATCCCACGCAGCGCCGTGCCACGACAGCACACGCCTCTCAAGTCACGCTTCGTCTTCAAGGTGAAGCGTGACGCTGAGGGCGCGCCGACGCGCTTCAAGGCACGCTGGGTCGCCAAGGGCTTCAGCCAACGACCGGGCATCGACTTCGACCAGACCTACGCCCCAACACCAGCAGCCAAGACCATCCTCACTGTGCTCGCCGTCTCCCTGCAACGACAGCACCAGCTGCACCAGCTCGACTTCAAGTCGGCTTACCTGCAGGCTGATCTCAAGGAGGAGCTGTACATGGAGCTGCCGCCGCACTTCACCGACATCGGCGACGGCGCTCAACGCTACGCGGGCAAGGTGTGCCGGCTGTTCAAGCCGCTGTACGGCCTCAAGCAAGCTGGCCGTGCATGGGCCAAGAAGCTGCACACCTTCCTCAAGACCAACGGATGGGCGCAGAGCAATGTCGACGCCTGCCTCTTCACCAAGCTCCACGACGACGGACAGCGCACATGGATCATCACGTACGTTGACGACCTCATCATCAGCAGCAGCAGCGAGCGTCACATCCGTGCCTGCAAGCAGCAGATCAAGGAGAGCTTCGAGGCAGAGGACCTGGGCCCGCTCACCTGGTACCTGGGCCTTCACCTGACGTCACCAGCTGACGGGGTGTTGCACATTACGCAGACACAGGCCATCAACGACATCGTCAACGACTACAACCTGGCAGCGGCAGCCAGCGTCTCCACGCCCATGCGTGTTGGCATCGACGCCTCCAGCATCAGCGAGCAGCCCGACCGACGCCTGCCTTTCCGCAACCTCGTCGGCTCGCTCCTGTACCTGGCCAACCGCACGAGACCAGACGTCAGCTTCGCGTGCGGACTGCTCTGCCGTTACATGGACCGTTACACGACGGTCCACTGGCAGGCAGCCAAGCACGTCGTGCGGTACCTGAAGGCGACGAGCGAGCACGGCCTCCTCTTCAAGCGACGCAGCGGCACGTGCAAAGACCAGCCGCTGAACCTTGTGTGCTACAGCGATGCCAGCTTCGGAACAGACCAGCTGACGGGCCGCTCCACGACGGGCTTCACCTGCTACATCAACGGCTGTCTTGTGTCTTGGAGCAGCCGGCT